CCCCAAAACCCCAAAACCCCAAAACCCCTTGAGGATATATAATTAAAATAGCGCAAGTTTAAAGTATTAAATCAAAAGCGCTTGAAATGGAATCAATGTCATTCGATTGGTAAAGTCCAATCGAGTAATCTCATCCACCTGCTTAAATAGAAGAAGTGAAAGATCATCCCTATGAATATGATGTCTTCGTGATTGGTGGAGGTTCTGGTGGTATTTCAGCTGCAAGGTGGGCTTCCACTCTCGGAAAGAAAGTAGCCCTAGCAGATTTTGTAAAGCCATCACCAATCGGCTCAACTTGGGGACTTGGAGGTACCTGCGTTAATGTAGGATGTATCCCTAAGAAACTTATGCATTATGCAGGTATTCTAAATGAAGCAAAGGAAGACTAAGAATTTGCTGGTATTCATGTTGAAAAGTAAGCTCCACATAATTGGTAGAAGATGGTTTAGAGTGTTCAGAAGCACATTAAAAGTCTGAATTGGGGATACAAAGCTGATCTTATCAAGCTTAAGATCAAGTATTTCAACTCATATGCTTCTTTCTTAGATCCTCATACTATACTTCTTGATAATGGAAAGACTTAATCATAAGTTACAGCAGATAAAATCGTGATAGCTGTTGGTGGTAGGCCATCTTATCCCGGTATCCCAGGAGACAAAGAATTCGGTATCACAAGTGATGATATCTTTTCCTTGAAAAATCCTCCTGGCAAGACTTTAGTTGTTGGAGCATCTTATGTTGCTCTTGAATGTGCTGGTTTCTTGACTGCTTTAGGCTATGATACTAATGTTATGGTCAGATCTATTCTTTTAAGAGGTTTTGATCAGGATATGGCTAATAGAATCGGACAGTATATGGAAAATCATGGAACGAATTTCATCAAGGGAGCAATTCCAACAAAGCTTGAGAAACCTGACCCAAATGGTAGAGTAATTGTGACATATGAATAAGAAGGAGAATTAAAGCAAGAGCAGTATGACACAGTACTGTTTGCTATTGGAAGATATGCACTTACATAAGGATTAAATCTTGATAGAGCTGGTGTAAAGTCTGAGACAAACCATAAATTCAAGGTCAACGATGTAGAACAAACAAATATTCCACATATATATGGTATCGGAGATGTTATATATGGACAATTAGAGTTGACACCAGTTGCTATTAAGGCTGGTAAGCTTCTAGCTTATAGACTCTATGGTGGAAAAACTGAAAAGATGGATTACATTAATGTTCCAACAACAGTATTCACACCTCTAGAGTATGGATCATGCGGTTATAGTGAAGAAGATGCAAAAAATAAATTCGGAGCAGAAAATATATCTACTTATCATACTGAATTTCGACCACTTGAATGGGCTTATAACAAAGGCAGACCTGAAGGTGAATGCTATGTAAAAGTCTTAGTCAATAAATTAGATGATGAAAGAGTAGTTGGTTTCCATATTTGTGCACCAAACGCAGGAGAAATTACACAAGGTTTAGGTATCGCAATGAAATGTGGAGTCACCAAGGAATAACTGGATTCATGTGTTGGCATTCATCCAACAATAGCAGAAGATTGTATTGGGCTTAAATTCACAAAGGAGGAGAATCCAGATGCTTCTAAAGGAGGATGCTGAGGTTGAGCTGTAGCGACTGATCCTTTTCTTCAAACTTTTGAGTGTCATAATCACCCAGAGGCTTTCTAGAATAAATCAGTTGCCCAGAATAAAGAGATTAATCCAATGATTTACGCAAAGTTGTGAAGTCTTAAAGTCAAATCCCTTGAGGAAGGCTTAAAGACTGAAAGTCATTGCTTTAAACTCGAAATCTCCTGCAATTTACCTCTATTTGAGTTATTTTCTTGAGAATGGGTACACCTATCTTAATTTTTTCAATAAGAATATAAATTTATGCGTTTTTGTTGCAAATTTGTATTATTAAAATGTGGTTATATATTAATTTTTGGGGCAAATGATATTTTTCATAAGCGGGGTTTTGGGGTTTTGGGGTTTTGGGGTTTTGGGGTTTTGGGG